GAGAAGCGCAATCAGGACGTGGTGTCAACTGCATAAGGTTACATCACAACAGCTTTTTCACCCTAGCAGCCCTTAGCCTCTCCTTGACTCTTAGGAAAGATGTGGGTCCACTATATTAATAAAACCAGGTTTCAAGATAACTTCTCAAGCCAATGTCACCTTCTCCAAAGAAACCACGACCAGGATAGGTACAAGGACAACCATTTGCAAGGGTGACAACAAGCAATCCTCTATATATTCTTGACACAGCCTTCAGCAATACTATGAATTTCATCCTAAAGTTTTCAGCAGTGTACACGCAGTTTCTACTACACAGATAACACTTATGGTAATATCTAATCACTGTGTGAAGGTGGTATCAAAATGGAAATAATCTGAGAGAAGACTTAAAAAGAAAAGCCAAACAAAATACAAAACACCATGAAGGAAAGGTCAATAAATTCTCAAATTGAGAATCATCAATATATTATACTAAATATGCATGGTCTTCAAGGTCAATGTTTTCCCTGGCCTTTATGATAATAATATAACCTATACAAAACTAAATATATGAAATGGACATAAACTCATAACACATTGAAGTACATCAATTAAAAAAAAAAGGACATAGTAATTGTTTTAAATGGCTTCTGTTTCTAACATTGCTTATTCACTGCCCTCTGAGTGCCTGTTAAAATCAGGGAGCAGGTCACTCACCAGCAAAAGCAATTATAAAATGCAAATGACTGAGCATTTATTGTCAAGATTGGCTAGATAAAAAAGGTCTGCTTAATAACATGTTTCCAAGCTGATGACATAATTAGATGTTTGTATCATAAACAATAGGAAAGAATACAAGCCTTTAGCAGTTTTTAGAAAGGCTGCAATTGAAAAAATAGGTGAGCGTTGTGACATAAATTCTATTAAAAATTAACAATTAAATTTCCCTCTGAGAAATTAGAAGGCACCATCTTGTGGTTACTCTGCAAGAATGCAATCAGGACAGCCGCCGGCCTGCCATCTCCTCCTACCCCTTCCGGCTGTGTCAACTGGAATGTCAAAATTCTGCCATAGACAAGGACAATGCATTGTCATTCCAATTATTTCCTCTGAAAAAGATCAGTGAGACTATGTACTAGGTAGGACTAGAGGGGTTATTTAGCTCAAAATACACCCCAGGCTATCACATTAACCAAATGTGTGTTTGAGGTAGACAGCAAATTCAGAATTATTGGTAATCATAGCAAAATCACACTTAATTTCTAATAAGTTTAAGATCAAATACTACCATAACCTAAACTCTGCAGTTCAGTAAAGCTGCATGAATTTTTCAGCCAGCTAGGAACAGAAACTTCCTTTCCTGTTATCCTTACATTATCAAAACCAAAATATGGTTTATGCATTTTGCAGGTGGTGTTTGAAATTTTTGTACAAAATTTGTTTTGGGCAAGAGTCAACCAGTTAAGTTTGTGCCATCTTCAAAGATACAGTTAGTCTCATATACAGGTCACAGTTCAGCATTGAGAATTTCTTGTTCAATAAAATCTGCAGTTGTAAGTAAAACACTGTTTTGTATGTAACACACGTGTATATTCATAGCTACTGATGTCTGCTTTGGGTCCAGTCCTGCTAACTGCTGGTTCATTGTACCTTGTGAGATAAACCAGATTGATCTTTCTCAACTCGATTGTGTAGCTGAGCAGTGAACTATTTACCATGGAAAGTTCAACTGTTTTTGTCTTCCTTGGGAAATGTATGTAAAATATAAACAGTATCAATTTAGTTATTGTTTTTATTGCTTTTATAATAAATTATGAATAAATAACTATTTCAGAGGGGCTAATTTAACTGATGTTTAGGTTATGATTTGATCATATAGCTCCAGAAATACTTCGTTGGTGTTATTGTTTCAGTATGCTCTAAGATTTAATCTAGTATTTTGTATTATAGAAAGTCTATGACCAGATCTCCCCTAGTGAAACAAACAGTTAAGGTACACTGACATGTGTCTCATTTCACAATATTTGAAGTACTTAACAGTTCAAAACTAATAAAATGTACATCTGCTATTTTTTCACAAGTAGGCCTAGTTCTGACCCGCTGATGACTCAATGAGTTTTGAATGGCTATAAATGATAGCAGAATTGAATCCATAAATCGTTCTTTTCACATCCATCAAATCTGGATCTTCGAGAAAGTACTTAGTAAATTAGGCCGCTCATTTTTCAAACAAACTAGCCATAGTAAGTGTCAGTGACCGACAGTCTAACTGTGATAACATCCAAGCTTATCTTTGCTTTTGAATGGTGTCAATAAAAGAGGAATTTCACTGTCTGGAAAGTGTTGTGGTGGCATGAATTCATCTGTTTCCCAGAAAGACTACAGTTAGAGACACATGTTTCCTTTGGATTTTTGAGCATATCAGGAGCATGGTTGTTCTGAACCACTTTGGTTACAAGATGCAGCAGGTTTTTTAGCAAATAACACAATTTTGTCTGCTGCTTTTCTAAGTTAAATTCCTTTAAAGATTTCACTCCTCCAACTAGGTTCACACCAGCTAATGTGTCTGTTTACACTCACATTGCAGGAGTGGGGTGACATCAAAAATGCTAAAAAAATCTAGATGATACACTTTAAATTTGCATTGCCCCGCCACTGGAAGTTCAACTGTATATTTTGTATGCATTAAAAAGCAGACACACATGTTAATATGCCCATTTATATCCCAGGATACTCCATATATTCAGCAGCTAAAGTTATTTGATTTCTTTTGTTTCCTTAGTTGTTAATATGACCTTTGATCTTCCCTGTTTCCAAATGTTGACAAGTATTATACAAATGCCAGAATAACACTCTGATTCTAAAGGGAGGAAACTATAAATGTTATGAAAAATAGGTGCCCCCTCTCTCCCTGTAGGATAGCCAAGGCAGCATTATTTGCATGGTTTACTCATCGCAGTCGAGGAGATGTAGAGACTGGAGACAGATGACAGTACTGCTTATCTCCCCTTTGGCTGCTGCTGTCCCCTCTCCTAGGCAAAGGGGATCTACTACATTTGAAGAGGATGGAAGAGGACGTTCACAGAAGGTCTGTGGGACCTGGGAGAAGAGTGGGTGAGGGGATGCTGGGGTAGGCCATGTGTAGGTATACTGGCTTCATTTTCCTGTTAATTTCATTCCAGAAGTAAAATTCTACTGAAATTTTACTGGTCTCCTGACATCGGGGCATATGGGTGTAGTGGGGAGGGGAGGGAAGAGAAGGTAAGAGATTGACAGCAAGGAGGAAAGAGAGGAGAGAGACCTGAGTCTTTCACTCCAGCTTTTCCTTCAGCTTCACTCCTGACTTTTTAAAATATCTCAGTACTTGATGATGAGACATTTCTGGTACAAGTACTGTTAAAAGGTCAGGTACTTCCCGTCATTGCTATCTCTATCCATCATTAACAAACAAAACTAAAAAAAGAAGTTAAAAAAAAAAAAAAAGAAAGAAAAGAAGCCAAAAAAACCACAAAACCATAGGGCTTGGAGAAACAAGTCCTTAATTAGGAAGTTTCTGTTTGCTTCCTCACACAATTTCCAACATTCTGTTATTGTCACATAAGATATGTATTCATACCCTGCAAAATACTGAACTCGTTACAAGACTATTATCAAAACAGTCTTATTTTTCTAACTAAGTGCTTGTTAAAAATCCAGAAAAGCTGAACCAAATTATACTGACGTCCACGTGAAATCCATATCCACCTTAGGAATGGATAAAAATTATTGAGACTTACATGGGTTACTTAAGTAACGGGTATCTTTTTCCTCACAAATTCATTCCAGAAACATAACATTCCAATAGCATGTTAACAGAAAGGAATCAGCCTATAGTATCATAAAGAAGAGGATCTAAGTGGTCCTTTAATAATTTAATAAAATGTACCCATGTTCAAACTGTGTTTAGGACTTTGTAACTTCATATTGCCTTTGTGTATATTAGAAAAAAACTTCTTTAACAATATATTTATAACAGGACATTTGCATACCAAAAGGTTGCCTCAAAAGAAGTGAAAACAAATTGTAAATTTTCTAAGTAATAATTCAAGTTACAAAAACTCATCAGTAGCATCTGGAAAAATATCAATATAAATATAAGTGTTGGATTTAGTACTGATTTTATTGAATTAAATTTCTAAATAGAAACATAGAAACTGCCATAGGTCACAAGCTCCTCAAAAGGAAAAGAAGAAAAAAAGAAAAAGATCTAGTAAAATCCAACAGTTTCTCTCAATTTTTAAAATTCAGAATTTGTCATAGCAATAAAACATATGTCTTGAGTTTAGGTTTAAACATGGGCATATATATATAGAAAGTTTTATTTATTTATTATGCAAAAATGATAACTCCAACTAAGAATTTCACAAGATATTACTAGTCTTGGTACAGAGTATCGTTGTTGTTTAAATTGCAAGTACAGAACAAATTAGAATTTTCAAAACTGAGACAGTTAGAAATTACAGGACATCATATCAGTAGTAAACCCACCAAAAAAAAGTCAGGCTGATGTAATCTTTTCCAGATGCTACCAGGACAAGTTTGCAAGTATAAACTTCTGTAAAGAACATTTCTATAGAGACATATTTAGATTTTGACTTTGAGCTACAGACAGTTTGTCTTTTGAAAATGAGAATTATCTGTAGAAGATTAATTTGTTTCCCATTACAGTTTCGGATTTCTTCTTCATCCATAAAATTAACTGCAGTGAACTTCCAGGAGTAAAAAGCTGTCTTTTTTCAGGCTTGAATAAGAGGAGAAATAGTCACTTGTCCTGAAATCTGGCTACAATTAAACACATTGAAGACAAATTAAAAGCTGTAAATGTAAAACTTTGGGTACTTTGCTGTGATCCTTTGTTATACAAGTACTGTACTATACAATAAGCAATCAGTATACATCACCTACATTTTGCAACCAAATGCTTAAAGTATTATTTAAACAGACCATAAATATAAAATAAAATAGGAAAAGACAATATTTACCTTTTCCAACTGGGCATTTTTTTTTGATTTATACAAAAACTCCCCCACTGCCACAAAGACAGAAAGCACCAATCCTGCTGCCAGCACGATGAAGATTCCTCCAATATTTTGAACTCCCAAAGCACTGGCCTCTTTACTTTCCTCCTCTGGGCAGCCATTGCCTCTCCACCATTTCTCTTTCATCATGTGGAGCTTGCCCTCCTCTTGCAGCTGAAGAATTGCTATAGTGATCTTGTCTCTATATGGAGAACCTAAAGAGACCACAGGGAATATATAATGCATGGGATACTTTAAGGAAAATTAGTTATCCTGATAAGAATAAAATGTAATATAATGTCACAGAAAAAACTGTATCCTCTATAACTGTAATATTTACCGAAAAGCCCTTTACATCTCACCACGGTCACCCTGGTCACATAAATAGAAACCCACATATGCACACACATATAAATATATATGCACAAAACTTGACCGACCTGCTGATGTCTGTAAGCCAGGCAACTTGATGCAACAAGTTCTATCACAATTAGGCCCATGGTCTCAAACATCTTCATGCCCAACTATTATATCCAGCCAAATAGTATTCATCTTTCAGTTTCCATCAGGCTTTTAATTATGCCACAGTATATTTAGTCTAATATACATAAATCTACAGGCAGTTGCTTCATAGCTTGTTACCCTAAAGTTAATTTAAGGTCTGATATGTAACGAACATTTTATACTATTACTTTATTAAAAGAAGAAACAAGAATTTATGCTTCCGGACCAAACCACAAAAGTCTCTGTTTGATGGATTGTCAGGTACTTAAGATACCTTCCAAGGACGCACTTACTTATTAACAGTACGAGGCAGCAATGCATTCAGAAAGATAAGGTTAAGTGTGTTTGGATAACAGGGATGTAAATTTTCATATTTTAATGTGTGTCTTTCTCATAGTTCAGTATTTTAAAATGACATGATAATTTTGTAGCTTTTGAACATTTCAATATTTCAAGGGGCAGTTCAAAGGGTAGTGTCATATCTTTGTCATTTGCTCACTTTTTCTTTATATACTGTATAAGGACTTTTCAATGAGTATTTTAAAATGTACATTAATTAATGAATAATGCCAATGGAGAAAGATTTTATTTTGTGAATGTTAGAGAGTAAATCATATCTGTTAGAAGTGCTTTCTATATTAAGATTTGTGTAATATTTAAGGAGATAACAAAGCCACCATTTTTCTTATCCTCCTTCGAAAACAGGAACAAAAGACTGTTCATTAAGGCAGTTAAGAAATCCCAGGAAAAAAAAAAGAGTAGATGAAAAGGTATGGCATCCCCTCTTTCATGTGATATGAATGCAGTTCTACAAAGAATTCCTCCTCTTTTTCTTTCAGTCATAATAATGCTATTTACTAGCTGTATTTTTTACAATGTTTCCATTGGCTGAGTGATAAAAAGCATTTTCATAAACTTGATGCTTTTTAAAAAAGAATCCTCAGCATCCTTTGGAGAGATGCTGCCCATTTGACCATTTCATGTACTGTGATCAACTGTGAAGGAGTTGAAGGAATGCATGGATAGGATATTTTAAACTCTTTACACTCTTGAAAAATGTATATTTTCTTTTGGAATTTCTTTCAATTTATTTCTTCAATTTCTTCTTACATATCTAGAGTTTATCATGAGAATAAAACTAACAGCAAAGGGTTGCTGTGCCAACATGGAAGTAAAACATAAAAAGGATCATTAATTACAAAACGCTCCGTGCTTTTCCTTTTTCCCAGAATAAAAGGTGGGAAAAGCTGGCCTCAAAGTATTTAAGTTGCAAGAACTTATGCTTTTATCCTCTATGTTTAGAAAGTAATGATTTTCTGTACTAGGAGCTAAACTGTGTTTACACAGGACTATATGGGAAGCAGAAAGAAAGGAAAACAAACTCTTTTCTACTTTTCTCTTGTGCATGCAGGGGCCGAAGTCACACTGTTTCAGACCATCCGTATTATGCTGAACCTCTGCAAAACCCTATACTTGACACATTTCTTCAGTCAGATGGAAGAAGGAAAGTGATTAGTCCACAAGAGCCTGGGGAAGTGCAAGTGCATCCTATAATCTTTTGGAGACATTTTCAGTGTTACACTGCCTATAAATATTTAACAACAACAACAACTTAAATAACATTAGATTCTGAGAAATAATCTTGGACTCAGTTTAAGCCATCTTCTGATCTGACAGGCTGCTTTCTATTAAACTGATTTGCATTTCATTTCCACACTTTCTGTTGGTCTAAATATAGGCAGTACGAACTATTCTTCATGTATTATTTATATATTCTATGGACCAGATTTGTAGACATACAGTTCTAGTCCATTTGAAGCACTTAAAAAATGAATTAACTGAGGAATTCATAGACAGAAACCATGAAGCATGGACTAATCCTATCTACAATTAGCTAAGTTTACGAGGATTGCCTTAGAAACATACAGTTAATAGTGATTCAGTTCAACAGTATTTGTATCACTTACTGTTCATTATTTGCAAAATTCTGCGCAAATAGTTGTGGAGTGGACAGATTACAGAGCCTTTGCTGTTTCTACTGCAATATTTGTATTTGTTATACCTTCCTATCTTGTATTAAAAGTGGTAATCTCACAAGTAAGGATCAATGTGGATTGCATACTGCTGCTGTTAAATTAAGCATTTAAAATTTTACACCCATTGAAAAGGTAGCATTCAATGCTGTAGTTCTATTCTGTTTCTGAATGGCTTTCAGTGTTCTAAATTAATCTATTCACATTTTGCAATAAATAATGACTACATCTAATAATCTGATATTTGAAAAAAAGTAGTTTGTAATGCTGTTTATACTAATTCAAGTGGTCATTTAGAGAACAAAGGAAGCACAGCAAAGATACTGCTTCCTAAGATTTTATTTGCTCCTAGATTTTTTTTGGTGATACACGCTGCATTGCAAGTCCTAGCAATGGAAAATCCACCCAGAAGCATGTGAAGTGGTTAAAAGTATCATGGTCTGATCTGTGGATGACAAAGTTAGGTTACAAAAAGAAGAGAAAACAACTAGAGAATATAGACAAGGCATTCAGGTTACACTCTGCATGTTAAAACTGTTTTCCTTGCAGAAATGAAAAATTTCAGCAAGTAAATGTAAAAGATTTTTGACATTTACTAGTAATTTTCCCTATTACTCCTGTCACATGACTGAAAGATGAATCCAGCCTTTCCATGAGATGTTGCAAGAATGCCATGTCCTGTTTCCTACAATTTTTTAGAATCTGAAGTATTTCATTTAGGAGAATTTACTGTTCAAGAGAAAAAAAATAAAATGAAAACAGAATCTTTAAGATGCCCTAAGACTCCCAGACAATGTATATGAATGCATTTCCAAAATAAACACAGGATGAGTAAGAATAAAGTAAAAAAGTAGAAGGAAAAAAAAAAAAAGAATAAAATTCTGCCATGTGAAGAACTGTGAACTTTACATCTCAACCTTCAATAAAAAGACAAGTAGTTGAAAAAAATCTTACCAGTCTGTGCATTTGATATTTAAAAATCCACCCCAAAATCAAGGAGAAAGATGAGTACATAGTCTTCCATTGAGTGGAGAAAGGGAGAAGTCCAGCGCAGAAATATCTGACTTTTTCTTCCCTTTCTTTTCCCAGTTCCTACTGCTTTCATTTCTCTAGCAACTGATAAGCTATTCCCATGACAAACTGGGACTGGAGGGCCTACAGAACATAATCTATACATTATTTGCTGATCTCACTCTAGCTGCTGTTTGGAGGAGTAAGAATTTCTGCCAGAATTTCAAGACTTTCTCTTACAGATTAGAGACCTTAGTGCCTTCCTATGATCAACAAACTCAATAAGGGATGAAATAATTTATATTTGCAGTTACCTGCTTATGAAAATCTAAAATAAAAATGAAAATTTGCATAAAATTCTATTGTCTGAAGCATCTGTACAAAACTAGGATAACAAAATCTCAGAAATACTGCAGAAGTTATACACAGATAAGTTTTCTGCCCTGAAGTTTCAGTATGTAAAGATTTATGCACATAATGATGTGTTTAATCATAAATTATGAACACATCAGTTTTTTTATATAAAGACTTCACTGCATATAGATTCGTATGTTGAAATCCTGCCGATCTGGTTGGTCTTGAAAATACTTCCTACTAGATTATAACTTAGTAAAATCTCCAGCCTGCTTACTCTTAGTCTGTTTCATTCATTCCATCAAATACAAAAGGCGTTGGAGCATATTGGGACCTGTAGAGCTGAATTTGACCCTAAGTAAACAAAAAGGAATAGCAGCATATCGCTAACTCGTTCATTAAGAAAATGTTGAACCAGGAACTTTTTACTTTCATTGTTCCAGGAGCATTTTACCAAAAGAAATCACTATGAATTATCTTGTATTCTGAAAGTTGGTGCCCGTGGGACATAATTATGTGTTACTTTGGATTTGCTAGACAGAAAAATCCATTCTGAACATTCCTGTTCTACTTATCTTGCAACATTATTTCATACTCTGTGTACTTAGCCTGAGGAAATGAGAGAGGCAGTTAGGAATGCACCATCATATTTGGAACATAGGTACAAAATTTAGATCATGAAGAAATTCTTCTAGTATTGAAGTATTTATTGGAAGAAGAAAGCCCCATGTAACAGGGAAGACGTTCCTTTAATACCTAGATGTTAAAGCCGTGTGTGAATAGTTTACATTGAACAAAGCAACCAATTTGAGTTCTAGTTTTAGCAGTTGAAAGGAAGAAGGACCAAACTCAGCATGGGGATGTTTTGGGGTTTTTTTTTGATTCGAGGGTTTGGTTTTTTTCCAGCGTGAACCCATTCCCATTGCGGTTACACCAGACTGATGTATCTAACCTAAAGTTAGCTTGGGTACGTATACATAAGCTGCAGTCACAGTCTTGCTTCAGAGCAGGCATAGCTGAAATTTCCAAAAGAATGCTGGCTAACACCATTTATGCTCATTTAAGTCTTGGCATACTGACATTTCTCTGTACTTATTCCATAGCTTAGCCACATCAAGAATCACAGATTAAATGTTCTGCCACCAAACTGATTGCATGCTTAGTTAAATCATATTTGAAAGTTTTGTTTGTTATATTGTTCTGTTATCTCTGTCCGTCAGTTACTATGATGAAGCTTTCCTTTTGTTTTTACAACACAAAATTTAGTAGAGATCTTTGGAACAGACATTCCTTGCTAGGGGATAACTGGTGAC